AAAACACACTCACAATTGTATGGGTGAGGTGGCACAAGACTATAATCCCAGTGATTTAGGAGGCTGAGGCCAGATGATCACAAGTTCATGATCTGTCTTAGCAATTTAGTGACACCTTTTTTTTTTTTTTTTTTTTTTTTTTTTTTTTTTGGTACCGGGAATCGAACTACTCATGGCCTTGCACTTGCCAGGCAGGCAGTGTGCCGCTGAGCTACATCCTCAGCCCTAAAATCTTTTCCATGTCCCTAATTACTCTGTCCCCTAACTCCAGAACCCATTCCTACCTTCTAGCAGAAAGCAGCTCTAGTATCTCTGAAAAGAGCAGATAATAGCAGGCAAGGCCACCCTTGAGTTCCAGGACATACACATAAACATATTTATATGCACATGCATCTTTTCCTCCCCCTTTCCTCTCCCATTTGAAATGCCCCTTTTGTACATTTTAAAAGTTGAAAATATATTCAGTATCACTAGGGAAATACAACTTTAAATTAGACCAAGATATATTTATCTACTTGTCAGAATACCAAGAAAAAAAAAAAATCTGATGCAGGTACAAGGAATAAGGACTATGGTCCGCTGATAGGACAAAAACTGACACTATCTTAATACTTTAAAATGTATTAAAATGTATTGTGCTAATAATTCTACTCCAAGGAATTTACCCTGCAGATATACTCATACTTGAATGTAAATATGTATGTATATAGACTATTCAAGAGTTTCATTTCTTTTCTTTTTTTTTGCATTGTGAATGGAACTCAGGACCTTGCACTTCCTAGACAAGCACTTGTGCCACTGAGCTATGTTCCCAGCCCCTCAACAGTTTCATTTCTGTAGTGGTTTAAAATCAACCTAAATTTTCCTCAATAGGTTTATGAAATAAGTTAAATACAGCCATTCAATGGCATACCTATGGAGCTATACAAAAGACTGAGCAGGCGAGGGTTGCAACACCATGGTAGAGAGCATGTCTAGCATATGCAAAGTCCTGGGTTCAATCTATAGCACTGCACAAAAAGTAATAATAGTAATAAATGAAAGAGACAGACCCTATAGTACTCATATGTACTACTTTCCAAAATATATGATTTAATTGAAAAATGCAAGATACAGAACAGGATACAAAAGACCCAGATTTTGTGTTTTAAAAATTCATATTATATATGAATACATGCTCACATATGCACAGAAAAATACCTGGAAACATACTCTTTTTTTTTTTTTTTTTTTTTTTCCTGTACCGGAAGCCGAACTCACGACCTTGCGCTTGCCAGGCAGGCACTGTGCTGCTGAGCTAAATCCCCAGCCCTGGAAACATACTCAAGAATAATAAATCAATGCCTCTGGGGACCAGGGTAATAAGGAGACATTTTTCACTACTGTTCATTTTGTAATCCTTTAATTTTTTATATTGTGCGTATGATTTTCAAATAATAAAATAATTTTAGAAAGAAATATTATTTCTTCTAAAGCTCATCCCTCCAACTATGCATTCTGCAATGTTCTCTTGTCTCAGCAAGGGTATCTCACACTCATTTAGCCCATCTCTAACTGCCCCTTCGCTAGCTCTTTCTCCTGCATCTATAAACACACCTGTGTCTCACAGAAGCTCCTCACTCATTCATTTCCACAAATCCTGAAATGTGTTAAGCACTAGCCAACACACTGTGGTCTTCTTTAGCCAACATATTCTCTCTCCTTCCTTCACTGCCACAGTATTTGGAAAAAGCTATCTGCTCTCACTATTCCTATAATATTACCTTCCACTTATCCTTTACTCACCATAGTTAGGTTAACGAGTCCAACTACTCTACTGAAATTTCTCTGGCAAGAGCCACCAATATCTCTCTCTTAAATATCTTCCCTTGCCTGGCACTCCTCCTCAAAAGTTTTCTCAGATTTGGTTATAACAACCTCCACTAGTTTCTTTTACCTTTCTGACTCCTCTTTCAAAAGACTCAGGAAAGTGAAGTCTCTTGGATTTAGTGCCATATATGTGCATCACTTACCGGTTGACTCTGCGGGGACACTTGTCCGGCTTAATGTCCACCTCGTAGTGGTAGACGTCGATTTTAGGAATGTCCACCTCAAAGTAATTCGCCAGGAGCTTGATTGGTTTCCCCACAGTGCCAATGCCCGGCCGACGAGGTGCCTGGAACACTTGCTGCAGAGGGGGCAGATAGGCGCCCGCAGCTAGAAGACAAAGAGGCCAATGAGGACAGAGTCTGGCAATCTAACTACTCAGATCAGAGAAGGGCCTCCCCGAACAGCAACAGGAGAGTATAAAGGAAGCCTCTTTCCTCTTCCCAACCCAGCTGAGAGCTTCCACTAGCTCACACAGGCCCAGGCTTATGCATTTGGGGGGTTTTGTTTTTATTTCTAAGCCTCTCTTCAGTTAGAAAAATGCTTGTCTTAAATTCAGGTAAACAAGTAATAAGTTCTTATTGCAAGTTAAGTGAAGGAATAAATCTGGTTTTCAGTAACCAAAGCCTTTCTTCCTTCTACTAAATAATCTGCATGGACCAGGTATCTAGCAGTCTGAAAATACTCTACTCCCTGCCAGCTGGATGCTTACTTCTCTCATTATTATCCTGAACACAAAACTGCCTTCATCTTAATGTTCCTCTGTAATGCATACAGGAGGGAGAGACCCAAAGAAGGCCAGGTTGGAGCCAGGCAGAGTGGCACACACCTGCAATCCCAGCACTCTGGGAGGGTGAAGTAGGAGGACGGTGAGTTAGAGCCCAGCCTGGGCAATTTAGTGGCTCAGTGAGATGCTGTCTCAAAAAAAAAAAATAAAAAATAAACAAGGCTGGGGATGTAGCTCAATATAAAGGCCTTGGGTTCAATCCCCAGTACCAAAGGGGGAAAGTAAATAAAGGCCAGGTTGGGAGAGTGGAAGCAATGTTTGAGACAGAATTAAGGCCAATGAATGGCCAGAGTTGGAGAACATGCTAAAAGGATAATGTTCGGAGACTAGGCAGAGAGGCTGAAATAAGGGGCCAGAGCAAAGGCCAGAACTAAAAATGGTAACAGAAAAGGGCTTGAATCAGCCAAGGAGAGAAGGAGAGGCTTGAACTAAAGAACAGGGCAAGATAGGTTAGAGTTGGTCGATAGGGCAGGAGTAAAAAAAAAAAAAAAAGCTGTAACTGAGGAGACAATGAAGAAAAAGTTCGAATGAATAAAGACAAGGGGCCTTGGGAAAGAGAGCAATCAGAATGCCAGAGAAGGAAGAGACACTAGCTCTGGGAAAGAGAATACAAGATTCTTTCCATGCCCCACAAATCCTCCCATAGAGGGGTCCAGACAGTAAAAGGGATCAATTTCAAGACAGAGGGGGCCCTTGGGAAAGGGGTAGGGCTAGGCCAGCGGGGTTGCTGCCCCCAGGCTTATTTTCTAGCTTGGGGGGGAAAGAAAGGAAAAAAGAGAAACAGCCTAAGAGAAGCCTTTGTCCTCAGCTACTATTGTTCTTGCCAGAAGAGGACCAGCCCAGGTGGGAGGAGAGAAGGATAAAACAGCCCAGAACCTCCCATTACCAGAGTTCTGCTTACACAGTCAGAAAGACTGGGGGGATGGGGCGTATCTTCAGCTGGGGGGTCAGGAAGAGGTCAGAGCCATGTGTGGGAGGGCATATCTCCCACAGTTACACTGCTGTCTCCCTCTAACCACCTGTCAAGTCCAGCCCCACTCTACGGGACAGGGAAATGGAGGCCCAGGCTGGAGGGAAAAAGCCTTCAGAACTCAGCTACATGGGGAGGTGGCGGACTAGTAATTCACACCTGACCACTTACCCCAGAAAAAGCAGGACAGAAATTTCACACAAGGTCAAAGACAGACATAAACACACATTCCTGTCACACAATCCGAGCACAGCCTAGACCTTGACAGCTTACCTTACCCTCACTGCCCTCAGCTAGGTTCTTCAAAGGCAAAGACCATATGTGCCCTGGTCACTGCTGAATCTCCAGGGCCTGGCACACACAGCCATACTCAGTATACAGATATGAAATGAATGAACAAACATATCCACAGACACAGCACTAAAACACACAAACACATGAACACCTGCAACTGCCCAGAAGCCACCATAAACCCTGCACAGGACTTGCACCCTTCTCCTCCCCAAGTTCTTAGATTCCATTCTTCTCCTTAGCCTCCCAGGCTGCAATCATTTGGGGTCTTGGAAGAAAGACATCCCCCTAGAGCCAGTGGCTGGGTAGCAATGATGGGGGATGGGAGAAACACTAGCCTCAAAGCCTTCTCTTCCCTAGAAATAGGACAACACCCCAGACTCAGCTTTAGACCGTCATCCTCTCCAAGGAGGCTTTGGGAAAACAGGGGAGCCTACACTCTTACTTCATCCCCAAACTAAGCAATGCAGGAGGATGAGAGAATCTCTCTCCTATTCTGTCCCCCCACGAAAGCTTCACGTCTGTACAAAGTCTCTCCCCCGCTCCAGCCCCACCCTGCCCCCAGCTTTTAGTCTGAGAAAAGGGAGACACTTCCCTTCAGACCCAGACAGGGACAGACGGCCACTTTGTGATGCAGATGAGGGCCCCAGCACAGAGGACAAAGCTCTGGCCTTCGGGGGGAAGAGGCGGGGCCCTCCCCTGTAGACAAAAGCAGGAGGGAGGGGCTCTGAATAGGACACTCCCCCTCCCCCATCCCCAACCGGTCCAGAGAAGGAAAAGTAACAGCCCTGGCTCAGGATTCCTTCCCTGCAGTTCAGAAGCCCACATACCTCCCAAGGAGCCACACTGCCTATTCAAAAGACTTGAACTCAAGTGCTAGGTTAGGTGGTGGGTAAGCAGAGGCCAATCTCTCCAAAATGGGCCTTGTCTAAAATTTATTAAATATCTGCATGAGTACACACAAACTATTAAATATGCACATATGAGCTTAACCACATGTTCAGACTGAATGTGGCTTGATTCAATTAACAAACATATATTTTGTGTCAGGGCTTACACAACAGTAAGGTAATTGCTGATTGCGTAGATATATGTCAAATACTATTTCTACCTTCAGGGAGCTCCTACTCCAGTATGTATGCTTGGAACACACCTGAGCAAAGAAGACACACCTGGACATAAGCAACAATGCCTTATTTTTGCATATTGTCCTTGGGCCTCCTCAGGACACCAATTCTAAAAGAACAGTAGTCCTGGCACAATAAGGAGGCAGTTATGGAGTCTCTCCATCAGAAGCTTCCAGACTAAATTTTAATTACTTACTGTGATGAGGCAAAGCATGTCCCACTAGGCTTTTCCAAAAGCTACAGCTAACTCCAGACACCAGACTCCAGCACCTCCCTTAGAGGATTATTTCTTGTAACAAACAAAAAAGTCAATTTTTTTCATCACTTCAGAGAACATTAGGAATTCATCAAGATAAAATCACTAGTCTGGAAAAGGTATCACCACCTCAAAGCAATCCATCTGGACTTCACTGACCTACCCATTCTACTGTTTTGTTTTTGTCTTTTTGAGACAAGGTTTCCATATGCAGTTTGGGCTGGCCTTGAATCCAGTTTGTAGCCCAGGCTGGAATTGGACTCGAAGCAATCCTCCTGCCTCAGCCTCCAGAGCGCTGGGATTATAGACAAGTACTGGAATTACAGACATGCACCACCATGCATGGCTGACTCTACTCTAGTCCACAGGTTGTTGGAAAACATCTCTAGCCCAGAGAACTGAGTTCCAGGGATGGAGAGAAAAAGAAAACAGCTGATCCATGCAATCTACCTTAGGATTTGCACAACCTCCATAGGTTTGTTTTGTTTTAGTTGTTTTGTACTTACTGGGAACTGATTCCAGAGCCTTTACACTGAGCTACACCCCCTGCCCTTTTTTATTTTGAGATAGGGTCTCACTAAGTTGTCCAGGCTGGGTTCAAACTTGTGATCCTGCTGTCTCAAGCTTCTCAAAGTATTAGGTTCGCAAGCATGTACCACTAAATCCTCCTATAAGGCTATTTTTGTTTGAGGAAAAGTAGTTACTCAGTACTTATGGATCACTCACTGAAAGACTTAAGACTCGTTAGGAGCCACTCTTGTGGGGGAGAGGTATTAGGTCTGATCAGAAAGATAAAGATTATTCTATCAGAAAAAAAGTGAAATTCATGTCCCAAACAGAAACCTATTCTTGTGCCCAGACCAAATGGAAGGGATGGGAAGAGATGACCAAAAGGATTCCTGAATCTACACAGCTCCATCCATCATAGAGTAAGAGACCTAGGATATAAGAGGTACTACCACCCCACAACCCATCCTGAGGATTCAGTCTTTGGGCGGCCTGCCTCAGTTTCTCCTCTATTCTTAGCTCCTTTCCTCCTGTGAATAAGAAAATAGGGCTATTTATTACCTGTATTTCTTCAGAGCCAGTGCTACAACCCCCCCATACACTCACACATACTTATTTGTATCAAACAGACTAGCTTGGCAACCTCGGCTCTAATGTTATACCCTTCAGTTTCTAGGGAATAAAGATGAAAACGGAAAGATACCTAGTGGGGGACAGGAGCCACAAAAAAATGATATACAGATTAGACTGTAACTTCAAGAGACAATTCAAAGGCAAAAGTCATTATGCTTGGATTAAAAGCTTCCATCTCCACTCAACACAGGACCAGAAACTTGCAAACCAGATAGACCTAGTCTTGTCCTTGGTTCCTCAGTAACCGACACCTTTTTCTAAGGCCTATCTTCAGGGAGTTCCCGCCCCCCAAACATGGCTTCGGTCCCAGTCTCTCATCATGTGGCATAAAAAGACACTTTGGCAATTTCCCTCAACCCATTCTTGGCAAATTGTAACTGAGTTGCTTCAAGGCCCTAAGACAGAGAAGGGGGCGATTTCCACCTGTGCTCCGCCAGCACAACCTCACATATAATGCACCCCATCAGCGCGCTCCATTTTCCAAGCGCAAACGGGGCGGGGGAGGGACGGGGGTATTCAGGCAGCCACGCCCCCACCACGTCGGGCAGCCCCTTCCAGCTGCCACCTCCGCGCATGCTCCGGGGCCACCGCTCAGGCTCCCCGGGCCTCCCCCGGGGGAATCCCAGGGCTGATCCCCAACCCACCGCCCCCTGACCCTCGCCCCCGCGTCAGGCCCGGCTGGGGCGGAGCTTACAGCCCCGCTCTGGCGCCTTCTCCCGAGAGATGTTAGCGTAGTCCAGCCCCGCCGAGCCGAGCCCCCGCCCCCGACATGCGGTAGCTCCAGGCCCATCTGTGTCCCCCCCCGCCGGGACACCTGGAGCCCGCCCCCTGCCACCTGCCGGGTCTCGCCGCAGGCCTCCCCTGGTCTCCAAAGGTCCGCCCGTGCATTCCGGCCTTCTCCCTGATGATTTCCCACCCCAGGACCGCGCACAGCCGCCCTGGACGAACAGCCCCCACCTCCGAGCTCGCCTCACATGGTTCTCCCCGAAACTGCACACAGCCCCCTTCGGACTGGGCCCCGTGCCACGAGAACCCCTCTTCTCACCCAGGAGCCCTCCCCTCACTCCGGAGCCACGCTCTTCACGCGGGAGCCCCCCGGTCTTTGGAGCACGCACAGACCCCTTCCCGGGGGGCCCTTACCTGCTCCCGAGGGTCCCGCTTCCATCCCATATACCCGTGCGGAGGTCAGGCGGCCCAGAGACTGTGGGGTCCAGCGTGAGGGGCCTAGGGACCCCGCGCTCTCGCCGCTCGGACTCCCGGGCCGGGCTCGGCTCCCCCCCCAAGCCCGGCCGCTCGCGCCGACGCCCCCGCAGCCTCCGTTGCCGCCGCCGCGGAGCCTGCAGCAGCTCCCCCTACGAGCGCCCGACCAGCTGCCAGTGCGCAGGCGCGCCCGCCGGGCCCAGGGGGCGGACGGGAACGAGTCAAGCGGGGCGCTCCGACGGCAACAAAGGCCAATGGAGAGGGGCGGGGGCGCGGGGACCGGAGGCAGCGGCCCCTGGCGGTCACCCGTCGCCGTGCAGCCGGCGGGAGGGCTCCGGTAGCGGCGCCACCGAACCGCGCAGTGGCGTAAGTGGGGCTGGGCGGGGCGACACCCCCGCTGCAGCCTCGGCCCGGCCTTTTCCCCAAAAAGGTCCCTCCGAATGCACACACAGCCCCACCTTTCGCACAGAGCCACGCGCAAGTCAGGGGAACCCCACCTCCTTCCCAGACCCTCTCACGCTCCAGCACCCCATCACCCAGGGGCCCTGCCTCCCACCTGTCCGCCCAGTCACCCTCATCCTTCCAGCCTGGGCTGCACAGTCTGCCTCCGCGAAGTCCTTCTCTGTCCCTAGTCCCTTAACTCACTGACGCCACCCTCTCTTCCACGCCGGGTGCTGGGCGCCGAGACCACAGACATTCGAGAGACCCTGCCCACCCTGGAAGATGTCACAGTCTCAACTTCAGTGCGGCTGCGGACCTCTGCCCGCAGGACCTGGGAGGCACCTGCGTCCGCTTTCTCATGCACTCAGCTCAGGACAGCTGCACTCTGTCAACCTGCTTCCCTCACCACGTCATTTAAATGACTTTTTGTGTCAAAAGCGAAAAGATAGTTTTTAATTATTTCTCCGCAGCATCTGACACTGTGCCTCTCCTTAAAAAAAAAAAAAAAGACTTCCACTGGGCTTGGGCATTTTTTGTTTCCTTAATTAAAGCCTCGGTCTTTTCAGTTTTCTGCAAGGGCCCCTCCTGCTTTTGCCCCATTAGATAAGTGTTCACTGAAGTTCCAAACCCTGTTCACTACTTATTCCATTCTCCCCTCAAAGATCGGATCGATTCATATGGCCCAACTATTCTTCCAAATCTGAACTTCTAGCTACGTCTCAAACTCTTATTTCCAAGTGTCTGCTGGACAGCTCCACCTGGATATTCTCCCAGCACCTCAGATTTAAGGGGTCCACACCAAACAAACCCTTTATCTTCCCCCCCCCCCGCAAACATACGTATGTTCTTGTGTCTTTTGTTTCCTGTCTTAGAGAATGGCATCTTCAAGCCAGAAATGACAGTTCCTCTCTCTTCCCGTGCTCCTTTCCCTATAAAACTGATTACCGAGTCTTGGCATATTTTATTCCTGCTTTCATGTGCCCCCTCTTCTATTTTGATGGCTCATTGTGCTGGTGCAGACTCTCACCATATCTTGCCAGAAATATCACACCTGCTTCTTTGTTTCTCTGTTTCTGAGAACATCCCTCCCATTTGATCAGCTGCAGCTAGAGATTAGTGACAGCAAGGGACCCATAAGCCAGACATAGAGGTGAACACCTATAACCCCACCACTTGGGAGGCTGAGGCAGGAGGATCATTGTAAGTTCAAAGCCAGCCTGAGCTACATAGTGATTTCAAAGCCAGTCTGAATTACACGGTGAGACGTTGTCTCAAAAAAAGTGACTACTCCAGCTTCAGTTTCCCATAAAGACATTTATAGGTATTCATTCACACTTCGTTTGTTTTTAGACAGGCTCTTGCTATGTAGTTCAGGCTGGACTCACTGTGTAGCCCAGGCTGGCCTCAAACTCACAAAGATCCTCCTTCCTCAGCCTCCTGTGTGCTGGGAGCACACTTTTTTTGATGCTGACTTTACATTAGATATCGAGTATGGAAATTTAGGTGATGGACCATACCCATCCTTATCCATGAGAAGATTGATTTCTGACACTTAACATATCTATCTTCTTTTCAGTTGTTTCTCAAATAGCAACTATCATACTCACCTGGAGGGCTTGTAAAAACACTTACTTCTGAGCCTTACCTCCAGTGTTTGTCATTCATAGGCCTTGCACTGGACCCAAGAATGTACATTTTTTGTTCATTTGAGAAAGGGTCTCTAAGTAGGTTAGGTTAGCCTTCAACTCACTGTATAGCTTCAAACATGCACTGATCCTCCTGCCTCAACCTCATGAGTGCTGGAATTACAGGTGTGTACCACCACACCTGGGTAAGAATGTGTTTTTTTGTTTTTCTTTTTGTTTTTCTTTTTTTTTGTCTTTTTGAGATAGGCTCTTGCTGCACAGTTCAGGCTGGCCTTGAGCTCACTTTGTCGCCCAGGCTGGTCTCAAACTCGTAGTAATCCTGCCTCAGCCTCCCAAGTGCTGGGATTACAGGCATGTGCCACCACGCCCAGCAAGAATGTACATTTCTAACAACTTTCTAGATGAAGCTTGTGCTACTGACCTGGGGAATAACACTTTGAGAACTACTACTCTACTGTATCTTTAAAACAGTGATTAGGAACAAAGACTCTAGAGCCATATTGTCTTGGTTTCAATCCTGGTCCTACCATTTACTAGCTGTGTAACACTGAGCAGACTGTTTAATTTCTCTGTACCTCAGTTTCTACCTCTGAAAAATGGGAATAACAGTACTATTGCATTGGAATGTTGCAAAAATGAAAAGATTTAATACATAAAAAGACTTTTGGGGGGGGTACGGGGGATTGAATTCACTACCTTGCACTTGCCAAGCAGGCGCTTATGCCATTGAGCTATATCCCCAGCCCCATAAAAAGACTTTAAACTGGGTGTGGTGATGCATACCTATAATGCCAGCACTTGGGAAGCAGAGGCAGGAGGATCGTTGTGAGTTCAAGACCAGCCTAGGCTACAAAGTGAGCTCAAGGCCATCCTGAACTGCATAGCAAGACCCTGTCTCAAAAAAACAAAAACAAAAAACTTTAAAATGGTGCCTGGTCTGAAATAAATAGACACTTCTCAGATGAAGAAATAAAAATGGCAAATAAATATATGAAAAAATGTTCAACATCACTGATCATTCAAAAGATGCAAATTAAAACAACTCTGAGATTCCATCTCACCCTGGAAAGAATGGCTATTATCAAGACATCAACCAATAAGAAATGCTGGTGATGCTATGGGGAAAAAAGAACCCTTCTCCATTGTTGGTGGGAGTGTAGGCTGTGCAACCACAGTGGAAATCAGTGGAGAGTCCTCAAAAAACTAAAACTAGAGGTTTCATTGGACCCAGATATTCTCCTTCTTGGTATCTTCCTCAAAGAATTAAAAACATCATAGCACGGTGATATATGCACACCCATGTTTATAGCAGCACAGTTTGTAATAACTGAATCTTGGAAACAGCCCAAATGCTCATCAACTGATGAATGGATAAAGGTGTGGGTTTTTTATACAATGGAGTACTACTCTGCCATAAAGAGGATAAACTGAATAAAAAAAAAAAACATAAGAAGGATAAATTTGTAGCTAAATGGATGGACCTTGAGACCATACTCTTAAGTGAAATAAATCAGACACGTGTAAATACCACATTGTTTCTCTGGTGTGAGAAACTGAATGTTTAAACAAGGACCAAAATGTATAAAAGATATTATGAAATAGGAAGAAAATGTTCAAATGGAAAGAGGAAGCGGGGAGGAGGAAAGGAAGGAAAGGAAAAGAAAAAATGCAAAAAAGGGGCTGGGGATTTAGCTCAGCAGCAAAAGCGCCTGCCTGGCAAGCCCAAGGTCATGAGTTCGGTTCCCGGTACCGGAGAAAAACCAAAAGAAAAAATGCAAAAAAATGGAAACAAAGCTTTTGTAAAATAAGGAGAAGAAGGGGGTGGAAGGGAGGGTAGGGGAAGGGAAAAAAAGAATGAAGGTATATCATGTACCGGTACAAATTCCCTATGATGAATGTGATCATTATGTATACATAAAATGTACCAATAAACTTAACAAGCAAACAAACAAACAAATAAATAAAATGGTGCCTGAAAGAATGCAAGCAAAGCATTAGCTACTAGCATAATCATCTGTCTCTCATGCTATATTCTAAGTTGCATAAAGACAGGGACCATATTAGATGCTTTCCTGTCCCCCATTTTTGCCTGCCACAAGCTTTGCCTAGAATGATTTGTTAAATTTGAGTTTATCTGGATCAAATAGAAGGCATCAAAAAAACTCAAAGATAGAAAGATGTTCTCTCTAAGGTAAGTGAACTGAATGTTTAGCATTCCATAAGTGTTCAAATTCCCTGTTCTAAATAATCAGTCTCATACTTAACTTGGAAGCCAGCATGAACTACAGAGTGAGATAAAGTGATAAATGTCTCAAACAAGATAAATAAACAAATAAAAGTTATGAATATTATTACCCAGGTACAGTGGCACAGGCCCATCATTCCAGCAACCTAGGAAGCGGAGGCAGGAGGTTTGCAAGTTGGAGCCCAGCCTGGGCAAGACTCTGTCTCAAAGTAATAAATAAATAAATTTATAAATATTTTATCTTTGAAATTTGGTGTCTATTGCCTATTTATCATTTCACACTAGCTGTATTTTGTGCAGTTAATTGTAACTGGGGAGCATGTAGGGACCTGAATAGTGTAGATGGTAAATTTCAGTGCAGCTTTGAGGGCAAGGACAGAAGCAGGTAGATGACATGGGGTAATCAGAGTAGGTTTCCTAGAGGTTAAAGGGAAAGAGCAGGAATTCGCCAGAGAAAGGAGGGATGGGAGAAATTTGTACCAAGCAGCATTAGCAGAGGGTGTGAAGATGAGAAGCAGCACGTATGACAGGAGCCATCACCATTGATGATAGTCTACCATGGAGATGGAAGGAAGAAGTGATGAAAGAGGCTAGAGAAGAACACCGTGACCAAATCTGCCCATTCTTTCCCTAGTCCAAGCCAGGGGAGGGGCAGCAAAGGCAAAAGGAGGAGCTGTCCCTGGTTCTGACACCCAAGGCAGATGCACAGCATTGTTCCACCCAGATTCACAGATTCTCAGTTCACAAATTCTCAGACTCACAGGCTGGAACTAAACTGATGCAGAGTGAACCTATTTTCCAACATCTTCTGCAGCACAGATCGTGGCCC